CTTCTTCGTTATAACTCGGATTTTGACGAGGTTTTCGCCTACATGTTTCTAACGAGATTATCTACAACTTTTAAAAATAAAATTTTATTTATTTCAAATTTTATATTTTCGCTAAATTTCACTATTTGGCTTTTAATTGGAATCTCATAAGACTTCCAATATTTATGAGTGATTCTAAACATAGTTTTACTTCATTTCTAGTAAAAACTATCTGTTAGAACTCAACACTCAATTTCACATAATATTTCATAATATTATTAACTTTTCAAATTACATAACACGATTTCAAAACGTATATGTTACATAAATTTAGTGGATAAAATTGTAAAAATAATGGGTTCAAGTGGAATGATTACGGTGCGGTAATTGACGCCGACTTAGGTAGGTAAACAGGTTGAAGCTGGCAAGTGAAACGTCATCTACGTCAGCGGTATTGATGACCGCATTAAGTGTAGGAAGGTAATGCGTTATGGAGGGCAATCTGGCTTCTATAAGATCCGTAAAGGAATTAGCCTTTATTCCAGATATCTCCTTTTTTGTACACATTGCTTTCGAACGTCAGTGCTACAAATCGAGCAGGAAGAAACATGGAGCCGCAGCAAATGGAAAAGATTATGAAATTTCTAATCAAGCAAGCGGAAGAGGAGGTAACTGCATTGGCAAATGTTGAAAACGATTTCTTTGTGAACCAGCAAACAAAAGCCGAAATACAGGCATATATGAATCAGGGACCTATGTATCTTAACTATCTGCGGATGGAGAAGCTACTCATTGATAACACATATGAAGCATCGAAAGCTATCCAAACCATCTATAAGCTAAAGAGGGAAGCAGAGATGAGAATGGAGGAACTGAGGAAGGAGCTGAAGAAACTATCAGAGGATGATCGACCTTATATGGATTAAGGTGATAGTTTTATGGAGGTAGTTGTTATGGTGTTTTGTTTTAGAAAGTGAATGGTCTTTTGGGGTTGTAAATGGGTATGGTCGTATGCTGTCTGTTTTGGAAATGGTGTTTCTTTGGTTTTTGGTTTCCTGTGTATTGGTAATAGGTTGGCAACCGTATTTGTCGTGGTCATATGTAATGTAATGCTTTTATGTTTTAAGGAAAGGAAGTGATAATTAGTAGTTTACATCTACTCTTTATAGATTAAGGATATTTGTGTGAAATGTGTTTTGTTTTGGTGTTTATGGACTTTTTGTCTTTATTGAATTTAGCATGAAGAATTGGATAATGCTGATTCTGTTGTACGTTTATTGTTGTAGTTTCATTTAGAGTAATGTTGGAAAATGGGTTGAATGGAGTTTGGACTGTGTTGTTAGCTTCCAATATTGAGATCATGTAACTGTAAGTGTGTAAGTTGGGCCCCCCTCTTTGTATCATTAATATTATATACTTTCTGTCAATAGTAGCATGTTTTGGTTATGAGTTCAAGTAATTATTGGATTTTAGGGTATTGCAGGTTTATATCCTGTCAAATCTAACAAACCAAGATAGATTCTTATTTAACGAAAAGCAGAAAAAAAAAACGTTTTGTCTTTCTGAGGATGTGGATGTGTTGTGTGGTAAGAATATAAAGAACGAAAAAAAAGCTACCAAAAGCAGTAAAAGTGGTATTGTAGTAAAATAGCATTGGAATAGGTAAACTTTTCTAAATTATTTATGTACATATTGGTGATACATTTATAGGGAATAGGTATTTTAGCTGGGTCCACAATTATGGTTCTAGTAGACTGATTTCTATCTATTCAAGTCATACATAAGTGGTACATTTCATAAAGCTTATAGCATCCAAAGTTGCATAGTTAAAATTTTGGTACAAAGTGTTATGTTATTTACATACAAAAGCAGTGAAAGTGTTTATGGAACATCTGATACTAACTACAAACAGATGGGACACATTCATGACAAACAAAATAAGAGATGATGCCATCTATTTTTTGCGGCTTCGCTTTGTGTCCGTTGATGGTGTTGGCTCATCTGTATCCAATAGAGAGGATGTGTTAGAAAACATAAAGGTATAATAGGTAATAATTTGGTTTATGTGTATACCACTGGTGTTATATAACAGAGTACGTGCGCTGCGTGTGACGGACATTGTAGATTCAGGTGTGTTTTGTTGCATTGTTGCCCTTGTTGTGGGGACCTGTGCTGGAGTTGTTGGAACATTTGTTTGCAATATAGAATTCAAGCTTTCAATGTCTACAATTATGAAACGTAAATTGTCCCGAGCTGATGCCTTTAGGATTTGAATTGACATGTTCTTTGTTTACCCTTTCTGCTGAGTAATAAAAGGTGGAAGCGTTTTCCTGTCGATGGTGTTGTTGTTTGCTATAAGATTTTGAAGGGTAGAGTTGAGCAGTTTCTGACATGAGGTGTTGGATATGATTGCTGATATTGTGTCCGTCGTGTCACTTAGTGTTAGGCTGAATTTGTGTCTGTTTTTAAAATACGTCTATTAGCTTATAGTATACAACATAAACGGTTTTAATGTAGATTGAAGTGTACTTACGAAAACGTTGGGTTTTCAATGACAGAGTGTGCACTGCAGTACCATTGTGGGCCCCGTTTGTGAATGAGATCTATACAAGTGGGACATATAACTTGATACCAATTGTCTTGAAATTGAATATCCATGATTGATGATTTGATCAAAAAGGTTTTATTCTGCAACCAGATGGTTTTACTGTTAGGGTATTGATTTTTGTCAGTATTATTCAATGAAATTAGATAGGAAGATGTCATGTAACATAACCAGTAAGTCTGATCGTTTTCTTGTTTTGATATCCTGCCATGTAATTGGTATTCCAGATGGAATAGAAATTGGTCTTTGTGGTCCACGGAAACTGAAATCAGATAGTCATTTTGTTAACAATAGTTTTATTCAAGAAATCTGATGGTTACAGATGAGAAATGCGTCGTACATATCAAGTATTGATGTTGTTTCTGGTATTTCTGGATTTATGTATACGTGGGTGGCAGGGGATGATCCATGGCGCAATGTTCCTAGGATTAAAAACAGGATTATATTCATTAATAAGAATTATTATAGCATGGTAGTAATTTTTTTTGTAACTTTCAGATTGGAAGTGCCATACCTGCAGAAGTGGAAGCTTTTAGGTTTGTAACAGCAACAACTGTAATCGCAGGCAGCGGCATGAGTAGATCGCGGTTGAATTTTGTTGGGACTGTGATGCATTCATTCCATAGGTCTATTGGAAGTTCATTGCAACTACATGTTTAATGTATGATGTTATTACTTGATGGAAGTGTAATGTATACTTAATATATGTTCCATGATATTGCAGTTACATGCTGTCTGTTAGGAGGAGGAAAACATATGGCTCATCATTTTGTCTTCTGCAGTCTCTGATTTTTATAGAACACCAATAAAATCTAAAAAAGTAATTAATGTTATTATGTGAGTAATATGTATGATGTAGAATGAAACAGGGATCTATATACCTGGATAGTAAGGTGGTTTTTCTCCAAGTTCCATGAGATGCGATTTTGTCACAAACCGGAACCAGTGTTTTGGTATTGTCATTGTATCTGGAAGTGGCTTGATCACTGAAATGAGACCAACCTCAATGTAGAAATCATTCTCTAGTACCTTCTAGTGCCTATCAAGTTCAAGACAGCTATATTCGGAGATCGTGTAGCAATCGAATAATTTGAATACTGATTCAATATAAGCCTGACTGGTACGTTGTCCAAGAATTTGTATTGCATCTCCCTATAGAATTAATTAAGTATTAAAGTATAGCCATAATAACTGTTTTTTGTATCTTTATGTTTTGTGTATATATTTTGTACACTTACAAATCTGTCAACAGCTAAGTACCATGTCTCGTATCGACGGTTATCGTTCTTCCATTTGCGGATGATTCTTACTTATAAAGGAGCTCCAACACCTTCGCACTTCAGATCAGATATACTACACATGACTACTGTGTCTTCACTGTTAGGAAAACAGGGATTAATTGAGGTAAAAGTGTTAGGTATTACATATAGTATGCATCGAGGCTTGTTTGGAAAATAATTACAGCTATGTAACTAATAGTGATATGAAAGTTATATTTTAGGTTATTATGGGTATTATGGACCTGTTTGTGGATTACATTGCGTAGCAGATCTTTGTACACAATGTTTTTTGTCTCTGTGGGTATCAGATGTTCATTTCTTTCTATAATAATTTTTATAGATGCAGGTGATGTTGCTCTGGAGAAAGCTACATATTATTGTCAATGTGCAAAAATTCGTTGAGATAGATAAACACCAATTTTTTTTAATGACTGACCATGGCCTTTATTGATTGTTATTGCATAACAGATTTTGACTGGAAACTGTTTTCGTGAAAAACTGAATGGCAAATCGGATGGTATGTGTATGAATTTTATGCGAGGAATGTATACACGTGTTCCGATATAAGTTCCAGTCATTATAGAAGCTTCGATTATGGTTGGGAGAAGCTGTGAAACAATCAACCGAGTACCATTACATAATCCCTTCTTTTGATTTATGTTTCTCAATAACATAATCGGTGTTCCTTGTTTCAAGTGAAGTGCATGAGGTGGGATTCCTGGAAATATTAATTCATTTAGGTACTCTGTGGGATATAGGCCTTCTAGATCAGACATGTGTTTTCCATTTGGCTGCATTGAATCTGTACTGTTATATACTAAACCGGAAGTTGTGATAGTTTTTAGGATCATGTTGTTTATCTTATCTGCCACTTCATTTGTTGGACAAGCAATTGCCCTTTCTGAAAGGTCTTTGGCAGTTGGGTTGGTGAGTATACAATCTCCATACACAAACTGTATAAGATCTTGTAACACATTTGGTCCAGGTGGGATCAACATTGATTCTGGAATTTGAACCCAAGATGTATTGTCCGGATCATCTGTATCTGGACATCCAAGCAAACCATCTCCAATGTTGAGAAGCCAACTGGCAAAATCTGTTGTTGATATTGTGTGTGTCTCGGCATCTGTATTTGAAAGTAAACACATATTTTCCGTAAGCATTCTAACTTCAAAAAGAGGCCATATATATATGATTTTGGTAATGTAAGCGCCGTTATCTCAGAACGTGTGCTTTTTAGGACAACTGGAAGTGTTTGTCGAAAGTCACCACCAAGGAGGACAGAAATACCACCAAATGGTTTTTCCTTACATTCTAAAACATCTCGTAGTAACCTGGCGAGAAATTCAAAACATCTTCTGCCACTCATTGGTGCTTCATCCCATACAATAAGTGATGTATGACACATGAGATCACCTAACATTGTTCTCTTTTTTATATCACAGGATTTTTTGTTTCTCAGGTCTATTGGAATCTTAAATCTTGAATGTGCGGTTGTTCCAGATGGAAGTAGTAATGATGCGATTCCAGATGCAGCAACAGCTAGAACCACTTTCCTAATTGATCTAAGATAAGAAAGAATCGTAGTCCATAGAAAACTTTTTTCCTGTGCCACCGTGACCACAGACAAACATCAATATATGTTTCTTATCTTCAATGCACCCAATAACTGTTTGATAGATTGACATCTGCTGTGCATTTAATTGTGGCAGAAATTGATTAAGTGCTTTGTGTAGTTCTTCTCTATTGTAAGCCATTTCTTCAAGTAACAGTCGATTATCAATCACAGCAAGGATATCAGATGATGGCATCAGTAAATCAAAATCATGTAATGATCTTGAAGGGACGGAAGAACGAAGCGTATCCTCTAAACTGTGAAGCAACTGTTGTGTTGTGAGATCATCCTTGAAAGACAAAGACCTATCCATTATTCTGGTTTTCATTTTGTACAGATAATCATCACACATCTTTTCATGTGCCACTTCCCATAAGAGGCGTGGATTACTTACTTCACAAAAAAGCAGCAGGTGACAGAAAAGGGATTGCAGTTGTACTGAAGTCGCCCAGACTGAAGCTTCAATGAATGCGTTCATCCACTCGGTGTCATCTCCAATTATTCCTAATGCATTGCACGCACTTCTGTAGATTGGATGGACAATGTTGGAAACGGTAAGTAGATCTTCAAATGATTTGCAACCCTTCTGATGAGAAAGTAGCATTCTCAGATAAAACAGTTCACCAGACGATGGATGAACAAAGACAACCCGGCCAACCATTTTTGATGAGTCATCAGGCCTACGTTCCCACGATTTAGAAGGAGCATCCCATTTGTAATAATTTAGATAGTCAACATATATCACATCATGACCAGACACATCTATTGCATTGCTCTCAAACCATGCAAGAAGGGTTGTTCTAGAAGCATTTGGGTTGGACAAAACTTCTTGTATTGTGCTCTCTTCGTTAAACACAATATGATGTGTGTTTTCTGTATGAACGGATAGAATCTGAACAGGTGGGTGCCGGTGATGTATGTGAAAATCAAGAATACGCCATGCCGCCTCATGTGGACAGATGTATCTTCCATCTATGAAATTCTGAATTTCATTTACAAAAGAGGATTCCTTTTCTTTTCCATCCGCTTTATTATTTGTCACAACACTTGGGCCACCTCTATCTTCTGTTTCATTTTTTTGTAGTGCATATCTAACACGATCTGCTCCTTTAGAAATGTACTTGAAGAGATACTTTATCATCATGTTCCATCCACAGTACTCAACGTTAATATGTGCATCAAACCGAGAACATAACCTTTTGTTATAGGGTACGATATACCCATTATCTATGGGAATCCTACGTGGTGTTATGTGTTTTGTTGCTGAAGAGCGCTTGTAACGCACATAACCATCAGTATCAAAGAATGTAGATTCGAGAAACAGCTTTGGAAAATGTTTCTTACATTTGTCATCCTTCATACATGGAGCTTTTTCATTTAGTGGACCACATGGACCATGAATCATGCACGCAGTAATTGTTCTATACAACGCAGGTTCCGCAACCGGATCTGGTAATTCAGCAGTTATATATCTATCTACATCTTCAGCGTGCCGTATTTTAGATGAACTATTTACCCATAACAACGAATGACAATGTGGAAGACCTCTCTTTTGAAACTCAATCGTATACAAAATCTGTCAACATAATTATACTTGTTAAATTTTAAAAAATGCACTTTGTTTTATGGTAGTGATATGTACGTCAAATTTAGGATGTACGAAATACAGGAACATGGAAGATAAGAATAAAATAATGTAATTTAATATGGATGGAAAAATAGAATTGCAAGAATCTGAGATGACATGAAAATACAAATTACTTATCCACTTTAAGAAAAAAGAACCTATATTTGTAAACCATTCAATTTAAAAACAAATGAGGATAAGGGAATCTAATTGAATACAAATGCAAGGATACAATTATCACATTGTTACATGACATATGTATACAAACCATTTAAATACTGAAAAGAAAAAAACATATGAAAATGGTAAACCATTTAAATGAAAACAGATGATAATGCAAGAAAACAGGCAGCTGTAGATGAAAGACGATAGACTCCTGTATCTTCATTCCAATTATTTGTAACATGTATATTTTATATGTTGCACGCTGTTTTTATAGTTACAGAACTGCCTACAAAAATGATTGATTAAAATGCCCGTAGATACTAATTTTATAGGTACAAAATTTTTATGCAAACATTTTTTTACCAAACTCGCCCTGCTTAGCGTCTATATAGTTAAAAATATAGATTTTAAGATTTTTGGATGAAAATGCCCCTGCATACCCTTCTTAAAAAAAATTTGATTTTAAGAACTTTGTACCAAATTGCCTCTACATGCTACTTTTATACTTAAAAAAAATTATGTTAACAGTTTTGGAGTAAAACACCCCTGCATAATCTTTCTATAGCTAACAAAGTTTCAACCTAACAATTTCCAATGACACAACAGTGGCATACAATTATACAAAATTTTTATGCAAACATTTTTTTACCAAACTGGCGCTGCATAGCGTCTATATAGTTAAAAATATAGATTTTAAGATTTTTGGACGAAAATGCCCCTGCATACCCTTCTTAAAAAAAATTTGATTTTAAGA